AAGTAGAGCAAGCGGCGAGTATTTTTTTATAGTGCAGTCCTTTATATATCTAATGCTCGTCTGATTGTGATATACACTTTAGGAACTTGTTATTATCTCCGGCCCTTTGCTGTTTCTGATGAAGCGCACATAGGAGACTTCCTCTTGGGCACCCATCTTTATGCCATAGTCGTCATTTTTAAACGAAAATGCTTGTATTCAATCTGCAAAAGTGCATGGCAAATAATCCGTGCTAAATTTATATCTGTGACGTCTCGATCGGTACCCGAAGGTGACGAAACTAATCAGAGTGAGTGTAATTTTTTCAAGACGCCTATTGAAGAACTTTTCTCTGCGACGCCAAAACTTATGATTTTACCTCTATAAAATAATAAAGTTGCAAATATAAAAATTTTAATAAATTTAATATACTTTAATTTTGTTGTAGATGATTTCTTCGTGGGATGTATTGGGTAAGAGAGATTGTAAAAAAAAATATTAGGCACCATTTTCCAATTTGAATATAAATCTCATTTATAACTAACTGAACCGCCAAACTTCGTACCGCCTAAAGTTTTTTCCCACGTTTTAAACCTTTCCTGGACTTATACGAATATTTTAAGACCAAAATTAACCAAATCGGTTTAGCCGTTCTCGAGTTTTAGCGAGACTAAGGAATGGAAATTCATTTTTATTTATATAGATGTTCATTGGACCGGTACCACATGCCATTAAAATCTCTTAACAACTTTGTAATTGGATAGAATTGTGAATCAAGTCATCACATAAGATTCCATAGCAAATTATAATGAAAACATTTTTATTGTAATGAAAACATTTCTATTGAGTAACTGTTACTTGAGAATGTAGTAAAATTTGTTTTCTCACTCTTGCGCAGTAAAAGCTTTATTATATCCATATTGCGTGAATATTTAATGAACTAAATCGTATTTTCTTTTAAGGGGGAAAATCGTCGAATGACTGCTCCCGTCTGAGTGAGGCGGGAGCGAGTGTCAGACTCTTACTGACTAAAAACCACCCCGTTCCTTCTCTTGCATGTCGAGCCGGAGCCCCGGTAACCCGTTAGGTTTTCCGCGACAACTAAATGCTATTTTAACAGCTACGATAGGGGTTGTATAGTTTTGACATGAAAGAATTATTGAGATTTTATTGGATTAAAATTGCATTGACATTGGTTTCAAGAGTAAGCACTCTAGAGAGGTGACCTTGGCCGGCGGGTTTTCTGACGAACAGGCGAAGTCACAGATATTCGTGAGGATTACTAGCTACCTCCGCGCGGTCATCCTCTGCTCAAGGACAGTACTAATAAAGTAAAGAGTAACAGTTTGTTGTATTGCCCAGGTACTACAACAGCGCATCGCCAAGTGCTAAATACTCAAAATACACAATAGTTCATTCAAATAGACATTAGCAAAATTAAAAAATATGTTCGAACATTTTTTAATATAATACTTGATATGTTGACCTTTGGCCACCATCTACCCTGGTGGTAAGCGATGATGTGGCCGATGATGGAGCAACCCTATCTATTAGAAACAGGTTCACTCGGGACTTGAAGACGCCGCAAGTTGTATTTGTCGGGTAACACCTTACCGGTTCGTACAAGGAAGCTTGACGCGATACGCTTTGTGCAAATGGGTGGAATGGCCATCATATAAGAGTGGCGTCCTGACGGTCGTCTGGTTTTACGACATGTCTGTATTGTACAGACATATTTGAATTTTATAGTAAGTTGCAAGATTGAGTAAAGTATTCATAATAAAAGTAGCTAGAAGTAGCTCAACATGGAGGTAAGCTATATTAAATACTGTTTTACTTGGTAGCTAGAAATCACAAAGTAATATTTTAATAAAGGTATTGAAAGTCATTAGATTTTCGCTAGACTGAATTTATTGTTTTACCAAAGAGTATACAATCACAATGCACAAAATAGGTGTTGCCACTATTTATCCATAGACAATATCAAACTAATAATAGACAACGATTTTATGTCTTTTGATTCACATACCAACACCCTCACTTATGAACTAAACATATTACGGAATATTACTTTTTCACAATGCCAAGTAACATTTTAAACTTTAAATGTTTTACTGGACAAACCTTTAAAACCTTTAGTGAGTATGCGAGCACTCAGAGCAGGCATATCCTCAATAGATACACAATTATTGAATTATTAGTATGACAAAATAGTCATAACAATATCACGGATATTAAGACAAGGTTATATATGTGTTTAGATGATGACTTAGACTACTTAAATCTAACCTTAATGCAATCGCAGTACCGTGGTTACCACAATTTAAATTTATTACAAAAAATGTACCTATATATTAATACATTAAGTTTCTTAAATATACTGCTTCTCTAGAAGCTTCAGACAAAGCGGTGTACTCGGACTCTGTGCTTGACATTTAAAAAGTTTTCTTGTTTTCTGATTTGCCAAGAAATAGCAGACGCTGACATTATTAAGCAAAACGTAGTTTAAGATTTCCTATCTGTGGCATCACTCTAGCCCAAACACTTTGGGCTTGCTGTCATTGCAGCGGTAAGTCCCCCTCTTTGAGGAGTAGCTTGAGAGACACTACAGCGTCATCACCTACTGCCTGACATAGGTGCTTATAGGAACGCCCGGGTACACGGTGGAGCATACGGTGGCGGTTTGCCCTGTGTGGGCTCAGCACCACCGTACCATCAGGGATGTGATCGGCGACAGGATATGATAGTCCGGGTCATGATGCGGAGCGAAGAGGTCTGGGATGCCATCTCCTCCTTTTGCGGAGAGTCATGCTAGCTAAGGAGGAGGCGGGGTGCGTGAGGGGACGAACCTCCTCACGCTCCAGCCATCGCTAGAGACACTTTAGGCGTCCAGAATCGCAAGACTATCTCCGTCACCGTAAGCACGGCCTGCGGACGGCGAGTATGGGTAGCTCGCCACCCGACCAAAACCAGACCCGAGCGTGCGGCGCGTCGCGTTCCGCGCGCGCGCCTCAGGGAGCCATTAGACCACCACGGATGGGCTACCCAATAGGGCTGATGTCGATACGGAGCCGCGGAGGACTTAATCGGTTGCCGGGGCTTCGGCTTGAGGGGCAGGAGTAGGAACGGGTTAGAATGTAGTCAGAAAGACTGACACTCCCTCCCGCCTCACTCAGGCAGGAGAAGGCATTCTATGTTAATCCTCCCGCGAAAATATATATATAAAAATAATACCGATCGGCCTCCTTTGACGCTTGCTACTTGTCATCGTCCGCACTGGTTGAATAGTGCATTCAGGAACATTTCTTGGTGGACTTAAGTCAATTTTATTTCACCACCTGCATCTAAGATATCTGAAGAGTAATCTATGGCCTCAATTTTAGGAATATCCTGATAGCTGATGACTCACCACTGATATCACTTGCATTTGGCTCATCCTCCTCACTATCCCATCTCTGCTTGTGATAACTGTGTTCTTAGAAGGATCGTAGACTCTGTAACCTTTGACATCCTCATCACACGAGGGTCAAAAGTTTGTAAAAAATCGACAAACTAAGTAAACTAGCAAGTTATCGTTTTATTACATCTTTTCAAAATAGCGTCCGTTTACATTAGTACACCGTTGCATCCGATGGTACCACCGAGATGAACATGTTGCTCACTCGGCCTGAGAGGCTCTTCGACGGCTGTTTGAAACCCAACCACTGCTTCTTCGGGGTCCATAAAACGTTTACCACGAAGTATTTCTTTTCTTTTTGAAATACATAAAAATCATAAGGTGCGAGTTCGGGGTTATACAGTGGGTGACCCAGTAATTCTACATCTGAGGTTGCCAAATAGTCAATTCTTTGCCTGGCGGTGGGCGACGAGGGATTGTCGTGATGAAGGAGGATCCTGGTGTGAGTTTGTTTCTGTCGAACTTTTCCAAGACAAGTGGTAAATAATTATTTGTAACAATTGTAGCGTAATGAACTGTCCTTTCGAAAAACGAGGCTACCGTCTGTTTTCCAACACTTCAACCGCACTTCAGTTTAGTTGGCAACTCCTTGTAAGGAAACACCCACTGAGCAGACTATCTTTTGGTGTCAAATACAGCATTTGAGTCATCTTCGTTAAGTTTTTCAATGATTTTTCGGCACTAATCAACATTGTAGAGAGGGTTTTGGGACTCGGTGAAAATATGAGGTATCCAGCGGATAAAAATCATCGAACATGATTTTCAATTTTCTATGTATCATATAATGGTGCCGAGCTCTGTGTATTCTTAATGTGCACATGCGATGCTGGATCGATAGTCAATACTAGTTTTGCCTTTATTTTTGCATCGTCAACTGGGTTTACATCGAATTCTACCGTCGTCTTGATATACCTGAGCAGTTCGATAAATACTCTTTTTGATATCAAAAAGAGTATTTAGGGAACAGAAGATAAAGATGTCGTTGCAGGCGATGATGGTCCCTGATGAGGCCGAGGATGCTTAGCAGATAAGTGATGAATGAGATATGGCAATAAAGATGATGGTGCTAATCTGCTCCATGAAGTATAGGTTGCTTCCAATCACGTCGGAGTCACCACTGTAGGGCGCTACACGAAGGCGTCGACAGACAGAGGGTAAAGTTCCCTAAGATCGAAAAAAGGAGGACCCTCCGACCAGGTGAGGTGTCTGTGCCTGGCGGGCTTTCTGCCCAACAGTTGTTCGTTGAAATTTTCTATCGCATGTAAACTTCACATATGTAGGATTTTTGTGACGTCATCCGTTGTTTTGTTTCTATTAGTAGTCTATGTGCGTGAACTGTCATGCTGTTATTTGACATGTGCCGCGACAAGTATTTTACTAGCGTTTAAAAATTCTTGTAGACGGCTTCTGTCAAAATTTCAGTCACATCGCACTCGTCTTTTTGTTAGAAGAAAGGAAAATGAGCAATAGTTAATTAAATGCTAGATGGTGTAAAATGTTGTAAACAGTTACGACAGTAAAGATAAATCTTGTGCAACTGAATCAGCACCACCCATTTTTTCATCTACGGGCTTATTAGACCGTTTTTCCTAAGCGAATCTCTTATACAGAGGATAGAATTAAGAGTCATTAAACTCATTCTATCCCCTTGTTTACTTTTTAATAAATTCATTTCCGAGAAAAGTCTTTCTACCTCAGCATTTGAAAGAGGAAGTGAAAGACATAGTATAGCAAATTCGCTTATGTCTGCAAGTACATTATTATTGTAATTTTTAACTTCGTTCCAAAACGACATAATTTCTTGAGATCCCCATTTGAACATATAAAGAATTTTCCACTGTGTCCATAACTTCAGAATTTGTTCTGGAGGGTATCCTAAAATTTCAGCAAGATTAATAATTTCATATGTTTTTTTGGATTTCACCGCTTCTTCATAACTTAATAAGTGAATTGATTCTAATTGTTTGTAGTTATCTGGAATCCTTTGTCGTAATTCTTTAAGAAGTAGTATTAAAAAATTGACACAGCGTTGTCGTATTGTCTTTAAAGTCTCTGGATCAAATGAATATTTGGTTATTTCTATTTCAAATATATCACCAAGAAACGGATCAGTTCTCATATAGCATTTATATATGGGTTCCGAAATATCTTTCTGCCATGCTGTCGGCGTTAAAATTTTCTTGCTAAGTGATACTATTAATGTTTTTAGAGCAATAACCTGTTTTAATGGGTAGGAATCTTCACACTCAAATGCCTTAACTGCTATTTGTACATCATTTAAAATGCTTCTTAAAAATATTAAATATAAATAATTTCTCTTATCTTTAAGTAAATAGTATATACGTTCAGCAGCGTAACACTTTTCTGTTACTGTTGCCACTTTAAAATGCCATATTAACTCTTTCCATTGCGATAAAATATTTGTAACTGCTGGCTCTATCGACAGCCAACAATTATCGCAAAACTTTGTCATTTTATAAGCTGTTTCGCCGCAGTTGATTTTCTCATATATATTTTTATATTGATATTTTCTTTTTGGAGAAACAGAGAACCACATATAAATTTCTCTAACTAAATACTCAGTTTTTTTTGGCATAGAACCTTTACACGCATGAGTCACAGCAAGTTGTAATGAGTGACAGACACAGCGTATCAATATCAAATGTTTAAGACCATAGTCACGTTGTAATCTAGCACGAACCCCGTTGTTGATCCTTGTCATAAATAACGCGTTATCTGTACCTATACCAATCAATTGATTAATATTTAATTTGTGATTCTTTAAACAAGCAACTAAACCATCTACAATGCCTGTTGCATCTGCTGTTTCGACAGTAATCAGTTCCAGAAAGGAGTTTACTATTTTTTTTTGGTTATTGCTGTAATATCTAATTACAAGACCAAGATATTTGGTGAGGCTGAAGTCTGTGGATTCATTAAAAAAAATACTGAACTTTTGGTTTCCAATATCGTCCAAAAGTTGTTGGCGAAAGTGTGAGGCTAACATGTTTCTCATTGTTTCTGTGTATGTGTAATTCTTTGCGTTAAATAACGTCAAAGCATCTTCAGCTGCATCAGAAGTCCCGCTTGAACTTTCGTTAGCAATAACTTTGAAAGGAATCTCTTTAATACCTGTAAATAAACAATAATAATAATTAAATATTATACATATACCTCTACACTATTTTAAATATTTTCAAATATTATTTTTTTATTTTGTAAGTTGTATTTAAAAATGTAATTTTTAGAGAATTTTAAATAAATATACGGACTTAAAAATAGTATTTATATGTAATAAAGCTGTAGAAGTGAAAATAATGTACATCGAAAATATTTAAAAAAATAGTGGGGAGTGTTACTAGATAGATACCGATCCCAAAAAGATTTTTAATTTTTTTTTGTCTTTTGTCTGTATGTTCACACATCATACAGAAACTACCGATCCGATTTCGATGAAACTTGGTATAGGGTTTTGGTCGGGGTTTTATCTCGAAAAAGTATAAACACTAAAAAATTACTTAATTGTGCGGTTCGATCCCTAGACACAATTACTGTACCAAACGCAAATATAAGGTTGCCGAAAGGACAATGTCCAAATTGGTCCTGTGCAATAAAGAGTATCAGAATATACGATAATTAATCCCCTATTTTATTATATAAGTTGCAAATACTTCTGTATCACGGACTAGCTGTATTCCAAAACGTACTATTAATAGAATTTAACCCGACATTAGATCGCCATCTTCGCGTAATGTAATAAATAAATAAATCAGCAAGTCCAATGTCATGTCGTGTCGAAAGTGAAATAGGGATGTCCAATCAATTATAATCGATCGATTGTGTTTTTTTTCTTTATGAATGCAGTCATACTCCAATTTAAATATGTAATAAATACAGTAATAAAGTAAATAAATTAATCAAAACCTCTTCTATACAATCATTCAAACATTCAACATTCGTTAAATATTAGTTGTTATGGTTAGATTAACCTCAAAATCTGATACTTTTATTGAAATGTATCTTTTCTGCAGCTAGTCCGCTATAAAAAAAGATCTTCTAAGAGTCTACAAATGATAGAGAACACAATACATATTTATCCGATACTCTTGGCTCCAGGGCCAACAATGTATGGACGCAGAGCAATGTCCTTTGGGCTACTTGCAGTAGACTTTACGCTGTAACTGTAGGGCCATATGGTCGAAACCGCCATTAGAAATGCGTAAATTGCTGAGTTTGTGTATATGTTTGTTACTCAGTCGCATCAAAACTGCTGAAGGGATCGGTATGAAATTTGAACCACGGGTAGATTGTGGTCTGGAGTTATATAAATGCTACTTTATATCCTTGGGAACGCGGGCGAAGCTGCTGGCGGAAGCTAGTAAAAAATAATACATATATTAAATTAACTAAAATAGCGGGTTACTCACGTGAGTATACTGAGAAAAGCTCTACTAGTTTCGAACCACATAGGGGTTCTTCCTCATGAGCAGCGTGCGCGCTCGCGGCGACGTCGCGCAGCTCACTGGTAGAGCTTTTCTTAGCATATTCACGTGAGTAACCCGCGATTTTAGTTAATTTAGTATGTCTCACGATAGTTATTATAAAAACAATACATATTATATTATTTGCAATTTATGTTTAGCTTCTTCTTGCGGATTCGCTCGTGTTCCCGTGGGAAAAATGTAGGTTTTGTTATTCCTGTCCATAATCTATCCTCGTTCATGTATCAATTGGGATGATAACGAGGTATGAAAATTAAAAATATAATTAGTCCGTAAGTTAGGTAATTAAAAAATATTAGACACGTATTTTTTTATTTTGTCGTATAATAAAACAATACTTAGATAAAACCAATCAAAGTTTAGGAGTGGGGGCTAAAACGTCATTTCTACGTATAAAATTACATAGAAGTGTCGTCACGCGACATTTCAAATCAAAATATCGTCAAAAGTATTCGTTTCTGTAAGAAAAAAAAATACGTGTGTAATGATTTAAAATAATCTACCTGACGGACATTAAAATAAAAATTAGGCATCTACCCTATTGTAGGATCGGAAGTACATTGCATGTCACAGTTACGTTGTTATCTAGCACTAACGCCGTTGTTGATTTTCATAAGTAACGCGTTATCTGTACCTATACCAATTATTTATTTATTTATTTATGTACACACATTCAACACAGAGGACAATACATATATAAAAACAGAGTACATAGGCCCTACATATTCCAACTGGAATTTCTTCCTGTGGGTCTGTGGCAGGAAAAGAAGAAGGAGAAGACAACACCGAGACACATAGTGTGTTACACAAACAAGATAAATCTCAATCATTTTGACATAACATAACATAACATCACGCCTTTTATCCCCGAAGCGGTAGGCAGAGGTGCACATTACGACACTTAATGCCACTGTACAATGTAACACCCACTTTTCACTATTTATGTTTCATGTAATAGGGGGTGAGCCTATTGCCATACACCGGGTACGTTTCCAGACTCCGTGCTACTACTGAGATTTTTTTAAAACCCAGTACCTAATACTTTTCCCAACCCGGGAATCGAACCCAAGACCCCTTGCCCGGCCGTAGCACTTGCGACCGTTCGGCCAACGAGGCAATCACTTGATTGAAATTCAATTTGTGATTTTCCAAACAAGCAACTAAACCATCCAAAATGCCTTTTGCATCTGGTGTTTCGATAGAAACAAGCTACAGAAAGGAGTTTACTATTGTTTGTTTTTTTTTTTCCAAAAAAATAAACGTTGCCCACTCACACTAGGATTTTCTCCTGTGTCGTGGGTGCGTTTACAAACATACAAATTTACATAACACCCAGACCCGGAAAAACAATTTGTGGATCACACAAAGAGTTGCTCCGTGCGGGAATCGAACCCGCGACACGTTGCGTGGCAGCCTGTTACGCAGCCACCGCAGTAACCGTGTTGTCAAATTGTAATTAGATTTCATTGTAATTATTTATATTAATATTATAAACACGGTTTATTGTTGTTGCTAACGCTCAAGACTGTATTCTTTAAGGAAAAATACTGAATTTGTGGTATCCAATATAGTCCAAAAACTGTTGTCGAACGTGTGAGGCTAAAACATTTCTCATTATTTCTGTGCATTTCGTTCGAAGTAAATTTAACCAGTCAGTGGCTTTAGAATGTATGAAACACTTACTACTATGTTCGGCCAAGTTGTCCACACTCATAGTAGAACAATGCTCTGCGATAAATAACGTCAAAGCACCTTCAGCTGCGTTACTAATCCTGGTTGAACGGTTTTTAGCAGTAACTTTTAAAGGAATCTCTTTTATACCTGGAAATAAAAACATAACAACATAACATAACATCACGCCTTTCGTCCCCGAAGGGGTACGCAGAGGTGCACATTATGCCACTATACAATGTAACACCCACTTTTCACTATTTATGTTATGAGTCCCATGTAGTAGGGGGTGAGCTTATTGCCATATACCGGGCACTTTACTTTGCCTTTAATACTTTGCCCGACCCGGGAATCGAAGCCAAGACTCCTTGCCCGGCAGTCGCGCTTGCGTCCACTCGGCCAACGAGGCAGGAAATAAAAACTAATAATAATTAACAATAATCCCGCGGGCTACCATCATCCCGAATGCTTCTTCAGGGAGAAGTCACCGTTCCTTTTTCTCCGGCTTGCCTTAATTGGCTGGTTGGAGTGAACGATGACAAGGAACAGGTCTCCCACCTCTGGCTTGCCTTCATTGGCCGTCCAGAGTGGAGTCGCGAGAGCAGTGATCCTGCTCGGAGGGTAAGAAACTATTCGTAAGTCGCGAGTGGGCCAGGGATGCAGGAGGCTTCGGCTGGAGCAGATGATCTAAGTAGAAATCGTTGGTGTTTCTTAACCCTTCAGCCACTCACATTCTCGTTGCCCCTCTGTTGCTATATCTAGCAACCATTCCCGGGGCCCGGTCGGTGAGTTGGCGAGTCTCCGCCTGTCATTTCTACGTGTAATAATTACATTGTTTCGGCAGGTGCCATAGTCATCCATAGTTCCCAATTTACCAGTCCACAGCAACCCATCCATAGCCCTCCCTTTTTTTTTCATTATCCACAATAGTTCTACACTAACCGGGGACTGTCCTTGGGTGCATTTCCATAGTGCATACAGGGATAGTCGCCGGTTTGTGTGTCCATTACATTTATATTAAAGTTTTCTAAAGGGCCCCTGCGCAGTTGGCTTCGGCCAATAATAATACATATTTTATTTGCAAAATTAATATTTAAAGCTACTCCTTTTTACGCGGATTCGTTCGCGTTTCTTTGCGTTCTTTATTTGTAAAATGTAGGATTATTTGTATGTATTCCTGATCGTAAAATCCTCGTCCATGTATCATTTGTACCACATGTAATATAAATTTATTTACGAGTATATTCTCTTCATTATAGTCTCATATTCAAAAATGATATAAAATTGCATATTTTAAGGAATAGTTTATAATTCTATTAAGTATAAGTAAATAATTTTGAAGATTATTAGTTTAATTTTACTTAAAAGCTTAACAAAAAAATTATGTTCTTAAAATTATTCCTATAATAGAAAACTAATAATTTTTAATATAAATTTTAAATCATTTATTTTTTATATAATTAAATATAATTGCTGAGTATCTAATACGGATATAAAAAAATAATATAATTAAAGGTTATTAAATATATATTGTTATTAACTTAAAAAAAAAATTAGGGAAAAATCCAATAAATGGGGGTAATCTCCCTAAAGAAAGAAAGTTGATTAAAATATTAATATTAATAAAAAAAATTATATTAACGATAAATAATTGATTAATGAAATTATATATTTAAAATGTAAAAAATGGTCTAATGATGAGGAGAAGTAAAATAAAATTCTGAACCTACCTGTTTTGGAAGCCAATTTTTTTTTATGCATTATCGTCTTGGCATGTTCCCTTATATCAACCAGGTTGGCATCCATTTGCAAAAAACAATATGTACAAAATACTTGGCTTGCCTTTCCACTTGCTGGTCTCACTTTTAACCAATCTTTGAACTCATCCCTATATTGCCACAGCGATCTAAACTTCTGGACGTAAGCATTATTTCTATAGGGTATTTCCATTTTTTGTTAAATATTGTTTCCCTTTACTTGAACCCGACAGACCTATGAAAGTAGTTAAGGGAAATCCTAAGGGGTCACCCGGTCGAATATCACACGAGTAAGCAAGTCCAGTAAATACGTCATCTCGCTCACTCTTGTAGGTATTTATTTTATTGATTAGACTACGCACGATTGTCTATGGGTAAAATTTAAGATGCATCTCGATGGTAAATTACTATACATATTATTTTCTATTTACTTATTCTCATTATTATTCTAGCCATTATTTTGTTAAGTCATTAAAATACCAAATCGTGGCTGATTTGTCATTATAATTATGTCACTGTTATTGAATAAAAAAAAAATATCATGTTTCACTGCATGAGTGAGACTAGGGAAGGCTCATTTATTCCCCTTCCCAATGCCCAAATTTCCTAAGGATTGGAAATTTGGGCATTGGCATCCACCCCAAAAAACTGGCAACACACTTGTGTCAACTCATTAAGTCATGTCCATAAGATATTACTTACCATCAAGTGGTACGTATGCTTGCGTGCCGGCCTATCCAAAACAAAGTTAGTTAATACGCAGTAACTACTAAATAGATCTTGCTTATATTTGGAATACTACGGACTCAGTGTTATCACATCAGATGCTATTAATCCCAATATTAAAACCGGAAACAAATTTCACGCTATAAAGCTAGATAAATAATGAAATACTTACATTTATATGTACATAAGTCAATTCTCAACAAAAATAATTATAGTAATAAAAATGTTGATACTTTTCTACGGTTTCATAAGTCACATCCCTAGTTCAATCCGCCATTACCAAGCACTGTGTGTACGCACTTTTTTCCGATTTGTTTCTTATGTATTAGATAATAATTATGTCTATGGTTCATTGCTACTAGAAAGGAAAAAGGAAAGGAAGAAAGAAAAACAGTTTATTTGCACCGTTATAAAAATTAAAACAAAAAGAGTAGTTCAAAAATTTGTAATAGTAAAACAGTATGCACGGCGCAAAAAGGCCAAAGGCCAAGCTAATATGCCGTGACCCGAGAGCAATAAATCGAGTCGCGGCGATGATTTTCAGCACTTAGCTCGTCACTATAGTAAAAAAAAATAGTCGATGACATGAACGGGCTTTTGACACATTGTTTTGACACTTTGGGTACTAGTTTATTTTTCTGGGGTTCCCAGCCAGCACGTGCTTTTTCATTGTTATAACCAATCATCAAAAGTTGCTAGATATAATTGTTAAAATTTCGCAACAAATTGCAAAATGTTATAGCTGCCTGACATAAAGAAATTTGGCTTTAAGGAATGTTGGCAACACTGACGAGGGTGAATGAATTTGATCCTATGATGTTGATGTGTGCATAACTTACACACACAAATTAAAAAACTTGGAATTGAAAAGCTTTTGTAAATCATGGCGTCCTCGTATTATCACGAAAGCTGCAACGCTGTTTCCATGGAAACGCTTGCGAAAATTGGCAATAATAATAATTACAACATGTCTGTACTTTAAAACTATATTTCAATTAATCACACAACAACTAAGTATGGATATCTTCTTTTATTTTACCACAAATAAGGTTGCTTGTAAATTATCTAGAGTAAACAAAAATCCAACAAAATTTACTGTTAAAATTTCACAGTAAATTTTGTAATTTCATTGCTTTAATAATTAATAAAATTATTGTAATTGCCTTTCACGTTTTAAATATTGTTAATATATTGTTTTGTTTTGTTAGTACCTAAATTAATAAGTAGATAAAACTAAGTATAAGTAAAAAACAAAGTTCTAAGTTTAAATTCAAATTCAAATGGTAAATACATATTTATTGCACACTTAATCTTTAAGTGTTAGCAGCGACATCCTGTTTTTAAACTGCAATTGGAACCAAAAAGCATTTCATCTCCTTTCAACAGATGTCACTATCAAACGAAGGGCATAGAATAGAAATATTTTCTTCATTTCTCTCACTTATTATTGTTATAAACGCGTAATAAATATTTCAATTTGGTTGAGTTTTAGTTTAAAAATAATGTAGTTGTAGTAGTTTCATAATAGTTAGGGTTAATTTTAGGTGTTGGCAACAAGTATTAAACTACTTTCTCCCTCTCTTTCGTCCATGTAAACACATTCATCCGACGAAAAGGGATATCCGATGACATTCAATCACATCATGTACAGATTTAAAGGACCATAAATATAAGTTTATAGAAACTTACAGCATTGGATCGAAGCGGCTATAGTATAGTTTAGTATCCGACATTAGCGTTACTTTATCCTTTTGTGTAGTTGTTAACAATAATAAGTGGTACCCAGACTATAAATACCTTCTAAAAGATTCAAATAAAAAGTGATAAAATGTCAAGTGAAACGTCAGACAACAAAACAGAACAAAATCCTTCAACCAACCAGCCTGAGCCTGCTCAGACCCCCACTGTACCTATCGGTGCGGAAAATGCGTCGTCATCTCAGCCAAGGGAATTTCCTCGGAACTATCGCCCATTGCCAAGTTTTCACACAATGCAGCCTGGCAGAGTTAATGCGTATGCTCGCAGTAATATGCCTGATATTGTTGAATCTAGTGCTGGAGCTCGCCCTACTCGTTCAAGTTGTGAACTTCTGCCTGCTGCAAAACGCAAAGCCATCTAAGCTCACACATTCATTAAGAAAATTCCTTAACTGATGTCAGCAGTAGAATTTCATGGATTATTTTATATATGAACGTGTTTTACCGGCAAACATTACCACCGACCAGCGAGTGTCCAAGAGAACAATGAAAAGTCCGATAAAATACATATGTGCGGATATACACAAAAATATAAGCTCAACATAGTCCGCAGCCCGTCGACGTAATCATCTTAAACATATAATCAAAAAGAGTAAAGCCAGCGGTACTGAAAAATAAAGTGAAGTGAAGTTCTCTGTGCATTTATCGTCATATTTGGTTAATATGTAGTTTTAGTGTTAAGAATTAATATTTTGATCGTTGTTCGAGTGCAGGTTGGTGTTCAAAATAAACACAATTTAATTAATGTTTTTATGTTGTATTACCATTTATAATTACTGATGATAACACTCTCGTAGTTCTGTGTACTTAAAATGTATGTGTAATAGATAATAGTATAACATATTCATTATTCCTGCTTGTTATGTTTGGAATAGTTAGTAAATGTAACGATTATATTTTTAGTGCAACTATTCGAAACCCTCTTCTAAATTCATGTTATTTTCTTAACGTATTAAGAGTGGTTCATAGTCGAGCACATGATTCGTATCATTTAATAATTTTAGAAACACAAAATTCAAATTCCGATATTGAAAATGTAATTATAATATTACGCACCAGGGTGGTATTAAAAATTGTATAAAATAAGAAACAGTTCGCATTAATAAATTAAAAAAACGGGTGTCAATGACAACTCTGTGTAATATAACGTGTATTGTACTATTAGTTTAATTAAAACTTATGAATTATATAACTTAACTAATCATGATGTTTGGTGCATGGGCCGACACAACTTACTTAACTTCGAATTTGAAAGTTTATTAACTAGCTTCTACCCATAATCCCTTTGTTCCAAATTTCACGGTTGGTTAGATATATTTTTTTAATGAAATTGAAAATAAGTATACCCAAAACGTCTCTTTTAACTCAAAAAATTCTTTTTTTGTACGTGTAGTGCTAATTAGTGCACAAGAAGTTGAAATTTTATTATTGATTCTGGGGTCTTATCTCCATACATTTTGGGACATTGTCATTTCAAACATTTAATAAATATTTATACCTTGGTAGCTTGTAGAAATTTTCATGAAACCAGTTGTATCAAAGAGCAAAGATATGTAGATTCCTTCTTTTATTTTGGGCCACTACACCTACAAAACATAGTTTTTTTGAGTTAAAAGATACATTTTGGTTGTATTTTTGTTTCAATAAAAAACATGTAATGAACGTTTATGAGCAGAAGTTAGCTAATGACTTCCCAAATCCCTAAAAATATTGTCGGTTCATGCACTCAATACATAATGTTAATCGTATTATATATAAATTCTAATTGAATTATCTTTTTCTCAACTTTTCTGAATTAAAACAACTAAGTAGCATTGTGAGTTTTATTGTAAAGGCCCAAATCATATTTTATTTGGTTTTATTTATATTTATTCATTTACACTTTTTGTACAATAGGTATACAATGGCGAACTTAATGCCTAGTGGCATTATCTAACAGTCAACCTTAGGGTGAAGTAGAGAGACACAATAATAGGTATAAAAGTTTAAAATTGTTGTGGGGTTTTGAACATAATTTGATATGTAGATACATATATATAATTATGCATATCGTACACTACATACTTATTAAATATAACATTACATCACGCCTTTTATCCCCGAAGGGGTAGGCAGAGGTGCACATTACGGCACTTAATGCGACTGTACAATGTAACACCCACTTTTCACTAATTATGTTATGAGTCCCATGTAATAGGGAGTGAGCCTATTGCCATATACCGGACACATTTCCAGACTCCGTGCTACTACTAAGATTTTTAATAAACCCAGTAATACTTTACCCGACCTGGGAAGGAATCGAACCCGAGACCCCTTGCCTCGCAGTCACACTTGCGAAAACTCGGCCAATGAGGCAGTCAGTGATTAAGAGGAAATATTACAATATATACGTAATGCACAATAAGCAGTAGACAAATAATAACTATACATAACCATACACACCTAAGTAGCGGCTAAAAGTAGGCCTATGTTGCTCCTTAGTAGAGCAGCATAGGCTACTTTTATATTATAAAATTACAACATATCCCACGCTGAGAAAAATGCGCAAAAATATTGCCAAAATATTACAAAAAGTGTTTTTATGTACTGATCTTGGTACTGGGTGATTACTCAACACGGTATATTCATAACGACCAAATTAATTTTGACAATTTAAGTTAACTACTTTTTCAAACTTAAGTGTCTATCGTACTGGCTATCGTACCTGATTGACATACATATGAAGTGTGCGTTCGAATCTCACAGACTTGACTTCTTTCTTTGTGTGATATTTTTGTATTCTAAGACTTTAGATTGCCTACAAACCAGTGTCTCTTAAACAACAATATATAAAATTGTTAGTACTATAAATGAGATCCAACGCTAATGCAATACTTTAAGCAATTCAAGGGCGACGCTTTTTGAATTATATTTATCCACGTAAGTATTGTATATGTCACGGAGAACCTAACGAGTTACCGGGGCTCCGGCTCGACGTGCAGGAGAATGAACAAGGTAGTTTTTAGTCAGTAAGAGTCTGACACTCCCTCCCGCCTCACCCAGGCGGGAGTAGGCAAAAAGTAATGTATATAATTAGAAATGTTACAAATGAATATGGCACCCGTAAGATTAATATTTACAAGCTAAGGTGAAATAACTCAATAGTGTTATGTTTATGACTTGATTCACAATTTTATCGAAGTCACAAAATTGTCAAAAGTTTTTAATGGCATCTGGCACATCATTAGCAAGAGGATAGACTGGAGAATTAACGAAGAAGTTGGAAGATCCCGGTCGCTTTTGGTATTCTTTTTACATAAAAAACATAACATAACATCACGCCTTTTATTCCCGAAGGGGTTGGCAGAGGTGCACATTACGGCACTTAATGCCACTGTACCATGTAACACCCACTTTTCACTATTTTATGTTATGAGCCCCATGTAATAGGGGGTGAGCCTATTGCCATATACCGGGCACAATTCCAGACACCGTGCTACCACTGAGAATTTTGTAAAAACCCAATAATACTTCGCCCGACCCGGGAATCGAACCCGAGACCCCTTGCCCGGCAGTCGCACTTGCGACCACTCGGCCAACGAGACAGTCGAAGCTTTTCGTATTCTTTTTGTAACCACACAAACAGCTGTAACATGTACGTACAGCTATAATTTAAGTTTTACCCTTCCGAGTCAATTAAAACAAAAGTTGGTGATTAATGTTACTAATTTTGTTTTTAAAAGTACTTATGAACAATACACATCAAAATAAAATTAGAATTCAGAGTCAACAACATGTTTTCTATAAAATTTGTATTTCAGTGTAAAATTTGGTTGTTTTATTAGTAGCACAATATATCGTCGATAGCAAAAAAATTACAGGGTATGATTGTTACGGGGCCTAAAGATGTAGCATGTCGCGGAGAACCTAACGGGTAACCGGGGCTCCGGCTCGTCGTGCAGGAGAAGGAACGGGGTGGTTTTTAGTCAGTAAGAGTCTGACACTCCCTCCCGCCTCACCCAGGCGGGAGCAGTACTTTGATGATGGGGGGAAACCCCCTTAAAAAAAATACTCTACCGCATTCAGGATGCGTTTTATGAGATAAATGAAATCGTAATTCCTATGGATGAAATTTACATAAAAATTAAATGAATCCGATCTGATTCGAGATTATTCGTTTTTTTTTTATTTTTAACATCAATTTATATTTTTATCTACCTAAAAGACAGTAGAGATTTCACTGAACAAAAAGTGTACAAGCTTTTTTAAGCAGATTTTTTTCTGTAATCTTTTTCAACGGAAAGTTAAAAGTAGGTATTTTCAGTAACAAGAATCACACCAAAATATTTGAAAAATGAAATATTTTGCCATGAAAGGCGACTGTAAACAGAAAATTTTGTATCAGACACGATTTTTCAACGAAAATGCGATAAAAACGTTATTTATTTTTACACGATCCAATATAGACATTTTAATCATACATAATCAAGAAGCGCACCAATTCTCTCATTAACTTTTTAAGATTTACGTGAGATTTATCAGCTGAAAATGAAACTACTTTTTCGATATTAAAAGTGAAAAACAAAGGAAAATATATTTTGATAAAAAGAAAATTGTATGCTTTAAGGACATAAAAAAGTACCACAAACATTCGTAAGAAAAATAAAAAATAAATAAGAGAAAGATAAAAAGGAAAAACTGGTATTTTTAATTTTTCACATAAATTTTGATGATTAGTATAATAAGTTTAAACACAAAAGTTGTAGATCTGTTTAGCATGTACAACAGTGCTTTTGAAATTTTCTGTAGGACCTGTAGTTCTTCCGTAAATCTCGATAAACTGATTTTGTGTCTTAACACGCCCACCCTGTTTCTAGACCTTAAACCGCCCGTAATTTATGTATCCATATTCTTTGGGCACATTACTTTCCTTTTCAAATTATTTTTATTCTATTACAATATAAAGTGTGGGAAAGCCGTGCTTCGGCACGAATGGGCCGACTTGACCGGAGTGATACCACGGCCTCATAGAAAACCGACGTGAAACTACGCTTGCGTTGTGTTTCGTCGTGTGAGTGAGGTTACCGGAGGCCCAATTACCCCCCTCCCTAGTCCCTGTCTCCCGAATCCCTGAATCCTCCACAATCCTCAAATTCCCAATTCCCAAAAGGCCAGTAACGCACTTGTAACGCCTTGGTGTTTCGAGTATCCATGGGCGGCGCCGATTGCTTACCATCAGGTGGTCCGTCTGCTCGTTTATCGGGTTACGCTATATAAAAAAATATTGTATCAAAAAATATCTGCACTGGTCTAATAAATACGCCCAACGTCAAAATAGTTTGTGATTGAGGGTTATCTCTAGAAGATATTTTGTAAAAACTTGTTCAAATGTATAATTCCATTTTAGTTTATTTTTTTAGCTAAAATTTGCAACGTAATGGCCAAAATAATCATTATATGTATTATATAACAGAAATTTGAAATTCGCGCTATTTTTAAACCTTTCTGGTAATCTTTTTGTGTTTGAATGAATAGAAGTTGCTATTAAATGCTCTACATAGCTTGAACGACATAAGATTTGTAATAAAAGCGGTCAAAAATAAGTTCTATACGAATTTATGTAACCTAAGTTTGAAATTCGCGCATTTTTTGTAACCTTTCTGGTGAACCTTTCAATGTTTGGATACAAATCACTTTAAACTACATTGCTTACTTTGGAAGACATAAGCTTATTAAATTTTAGCAACAATTTAAATTGTAAATATTTTAGCCATAGTTAGTAACTTATTAACAATATGTACTTAGTATATGTATTTTGTTTCTATAAGTTAAATAATTGTAGTTTAATTGTAGTATATTTATACTTAACAAATTTAATTTTTTAGTGAAGATACAAACGATTTATTTTAAAATGTAAATAACACTTTAAATAAACCCACTTACACAAATTTCCGATCATTTTATTTGTTCTCTGCCCCCCCTCAAGCCCCGTAAATATTGATCGGCTGCAATCATTTACGTCCTTGTCAAACTAAGAAAGTTCTCACGGATCATTCGTCATCTCTTTTCGTGGTGTGATATGTTTATACACATGAAAGGGAAAGAACATTGCCGTATAGCTAGCAAGGTATATGGTAATTTCTGGTCAGCCTGGTAACATAGTAGCTCAAAATGGTGTGCATATTTTACGTTCGGTTATAGGAAAGCAGTAGTAGGTGTATAAAATATAAGTGAAACTGTTCAAGACTAAAATTAATTGTTTGACCGTGACATGTCACTTGCTAAAAAGTATTTGGCTGCCCGTAAAATGTCGCTAAGACTAAGAAAAATATTAAGCAAACCAGGCCTCATTATTGCTAGGGCTTTAATGAAATATAAATATAATCCCTGCCTTTGGAATGTTAATCATATGTTTTACCGTCATAGTGCAGTGAAATCCTCAGCTTGGGATGAAGTAGTAAAAGTGTGGCGTGAGTTTGATCCCTCTGCTAACGAAATATATGTTAAGGTAAAGGTAGCACATATGCGGTCCCGCTGGGCCATACAGAAACATCTGGTAAGCAGCTTACTATAATTAATTTTATTGCTACTAGTACATAATCAGTTTCGTGTATTTTTGTTGAAATCTTTTTGAGGATAAGGAATGCTTGTGGAAATGCTGTGCGAGATTGAATGTCGCCCAGCATTTCAAATATTATGAGTGTTATTGTCATTATTAATTTGCATAAAATTAAATAGCCTCTAAAATAACATTTGTATTTATCTGAGTTTTGCTTCGTTTGTAATAGTTAACATTAATATAAGTGCTTATATTTATTTATGAACGTGCTGTCTAAAGTTTATTAATAAAATTTTAACAGTCCTGCTATATTTTATTTTTATACTGTTTTCTATTTGTATGGGCAAAAAATATCAAGTAGGTATGTCATAATTACATAATATTGTTTCTTTTCAGTTTGAGGAGTGTAAAGCAAGAAATATACCGTATAAGCCGACCCTTTGGTACTACCCTCACTTTCAGTTCCTACCGGACCCAAAAACATATCCAAAATATTACGATTATGATATCCTGAAAAAAATTGTGGTAAGTATATAACAACTTTTTTTTAGTATTTTACAAAAATGTAAAGCGTGTGCTGTTTGTTTTAAATAAGTGGTGCCATTTCTCTCTCCTAGGGATATTTATTTTTTTTAATGGGAAAAAATCATAAAATTTATTCTCCCGCCTAGGTGAGGCGGGAGGGAGTATCAGACTCTTACTGACAAAAAACCACTCCGTTCCTACTATTGCGCTTGGAGCCGGAGCCCCGGTAACCCGTTAGGTTCTCCGCGACCTCTCCTAGGGATAAGTCCATATATCAGTATATATACTCTATGTAGTATTTGGATTGATGAAAGCACGTGACTGCCTCGTTGGCCAAGTGGTCGCAGGTGTGACTGCCGGGCAAGGGGTCTTGGGTTTGTTTCCCGGCTCGGGCAATGAATTACAGTTTTTTTTAATTCTCAGTTAATACTGAGAATTTTTAATACGTGTTAATGGACGGAGTCTGGAATTGTGCCCGGTATATGGCAATAGGCTCACCCTCTATTACACAGGACTCAGAACAGTGATAAGTGGGTGTTACATTGTACAGTGGCATTAAGTGTCGTAATGTGCACCTCTGCCAGTAATAATTTTATTTTGTTTTACAAAGAGAATGAAACAATAAATGAGCACATTTAAAATAGAATTTAATGGAGATTATGTAAACAGTATTTGCATGAGTCACTCTTATTGAGTTAGCGTACAAGAATTTTGTGTGATTCTTCTTTTTACTCTCATCATTTTTAGATTGTATTCTTCTGCGAAATATCTTTTATATCTTTCTGCATGTTAACTAAGCCCTATGCGATCTTTAGTGAGCTAGTCAAGCACTGCTGCTTTTTTGGCCGGATAATGAGGGAGTATTCTTTTTTGCATATTTGACTAATATGCAGCTGCACCTGCGATTAGACTGCGTTCTGTAATGCGAAGGTTTAATTGAAACATTGTAGTTAAACGTATTAAAATTTAATAATAGATAATGTGAACAAGTAATTAGAATTATTTTCTGGTAAATCTGAAAATATTTCATGTTGATTAACTAGATTTCCAAAATATTCCAGCATGAATTCCCGTGTGCTACTGCGGCCATCTATGTATGTAGTCACGATGTCTTGAAATTTTAAATCGCTAGTGCACATGTAAGGAGAAAATGCTTTTTCGGTTTCTGTAAACTTCTGCATAATAATGCTTACTAATATAATATAATATAAGAATAATAATCCTTACTAATATTATAAATCGGTAAGTGAGTTTGTTTGTTTGTTTGTTCCACTTTCACGCCGTAACTACTAAACCGATTGCTTTGAATTTTTGCAGACGTAAAGTTAAAAGTCCGGATTAAATATTAGGGTACTTTTTAACCTGGAAAAATTTGATATTCCCGAGGGAAAACAAAAGTATTGGTATAAATGGCGCTGTGTGTATTGGTATATGTCACATAGGCTACTTTTTTTCCTTTTGTGACGCAAGCGAAGCCGCGGGTAAAAGCTAGTTGGCTATAAAGTAATAATAAACTTGCAGTAATTATTATGGTGAACATAGTATCTTAATTATACGTATCTAGGTAGGTCAAGAAGGAACGAATAAAAAAATGCGCTAGGACTATTGTTTCTTCGTTTTCTTGTTTCTGCTTTAAACTGGGATATTATATATAATTTTAAGTGTGGGAGAGCCATGCTTCGGCACGAATGGACCGGCTCGACCGGAGTGATACCACAGCCTCACAAAAAACCGACGTGAAACAACGTTTGCGTTGTGTTTCGTCGTGTGAGGTTACCGGAGGCCCAATTACCCCCCTCCCTAGTCCCCGTCTCCCGAATCCCTGAATCCTCCACCATCCTCAAATTCCCAGTTCCCAAAAGGCCGGTAACGCACTTGTAACGCTTTGGTGTTTCGAGTGTCCATGGGCGGCGCCGATTGCTTGCCATCAGGTGATCCGTCTGCTCGTTTACCGGCTTATGGTAAAAAAATATATATAGGAATAAAGTAGGATCCATTAGGATCCATTAGGATCCTACTTTTCCGCTAAAAGTATTAACTTTTTATGATTTACTTGTTACTTTTTAATACTGTTATAAAATGTTATGTTTAAAATGTTAGTTGGTAATATACCAACTAACCTGGCCATATAGGGAACATTAACTATTAGGAAATCAAATACTTACCTATTTGTATATAGTGTTGGCAGTTTTACTCTCATTTAAAGGTAACAATTATATCACAGTACTTTAGTTTTTCAAGCCGAAATCGGTCATGAAAATTTTGTCATCCCATTCAGATAATTATCAGATCTGTCTCTTACAACCCTTTGTATGCTGTCTGGATTCAGGTAATTCAATATTGTGTAGCCTTTTTCAATCGCCATGTCGCCAAAAGTATCGGATACTTAAATTTTTCTACAATAACGAACAAAATCACCAAAGTTCTAACATGAAAAATCACGATTATAATGACTGAAGAACGTCAAAATAAACAGATTAGTGACTAACCGAGGCTCAAACAGACAGTTAGGGAGTTTAACTGTTGGATAATGCCTAATTGGTTATTGAAAAATTTAAAATTTTGTTAACTGTTGGATAAGTTATAACTGATGGCTTAACTAACTATTAAAAATTGCCCTAATTGTATTAAGTTGTGTCTGCGCTAGCACCAGCGTGTCGTCGGCGTAGCACACGATGCTAACGCCGTTCGGGAGGTCGGTGAAATTATTTAGAGACTAATAATATGATTTCTATGATTTCGCTAACCTTTTATTCTTCCGCGGTTCGAAATCGAGATGTTGTGATGACACGAAGTATTAACACGTATTTAACACATTATACAATTTGCTAACAGTGCTATTATACAATTTCAGGTAGCACCGGTTCCTGCTCAAAATCCACCAGATGCAAATCAACCTCAACTTAAGCAAATACTGCAGTATGACACAACCCAGATTACCACTACTAACGGACCAACCCCGGCTGTTTCTAACAATTCCAGTGAACAATTCCAAGTGACTATTACTAAAAAAACAACCCTGATGGCCAAAGCCAGCTTACCGGATCAGACTGCAATTACTTGTGGGCAACACCCGATTACTTCTACTAGCGAACACTACCAGGAAATTACTACTAGCGAACACTACCAGGAAGTTACTACTAGCGAACAATACCAGATGAGTACTACTGGTGGACACTACCAGGTGACTACTACTAGCGGGCACTACCAAGTCACTACTACTAGTGAACACCACCAGGTGACTACTGCTAGTGGAGAATACCAGATGACTTGTAACAAACCTGCCTTGACGGCCACCGCCAACGGGCCAGCCCAGATGACTACCGTCAATGGACTAGCTCAGGTGGACGCCATCAAAGAACCTAACAGCAGCAAAAACCCTTCGGACAAAGACCAATCCGACTACTTACTCGTTATCGAGCGAGACCAAACAAGCTTGCAATTTGAAGCATATGAATTGGACGAAAATGCTGTGGCAACTCTTGAGTTAGCGTATAGTGACGATCAAAACCACACCGACAATTAAGTCAAGTATATTTATAACTAGTTAATTAAGTTTATATTTGTGATCGAATTTTCGACATTTCGTAAGTTATAATTGTGTGTGTTCTTCCAAATATGCGGGGTTATTGGAAATATATTAACAACATTACAGAAATGCATTCCTAATAACATAAACATCCACATTTTTTCTATGGTATTCAATAATTCGTCAAGTTATAAATTTAACAATAAGTTATAAACTTTAGTAGAAATATCACTATTTATTGTGTGTTGTACATGATATTCTCTTAAAGTTTGTCTTTGAATGGTTAAAATCAAGCTAATTTTCAAAAGTTGTAGGATTAAATTTATAGTTAGTGAAATGTCGTATCTTACTACGTCCATTAGTCGTAATCTTCTAAATGTTTCATGGATGTAGTAAGATAGTAAGTAACCTTGTATATCACGCATGTAGTAGATACATTAATGTACAGTAAGCACCAAAAGAAAATGAACAGAATCAGAATCAATCACATAACAAAACACCTGTTCACAAAAAATGCCATAAGTTATAGTTGCAACTAGGAAATAAATTAGCCACTATTCCAGATATTTACAAAAGTCGTTATACACGAATATTTCAAAAGTATCTGTGCACTAGTATTCCTAAAGTCGCTGTACACCATCAACCCAAATGTCGCTGAACTTGATTGTATCAACAGTCACTAAACAGGAGTAAAGACAAAAGTAGGTTGACAAAGTATATTTTTAATGTTGCCGTGTGTTAATATACTTTTGACGCTTATGTTGTTCAGCTAATAATGTCTGTTAACACGTTAGTATCTATTTAAATACTTATTTACAAAGCAATTAATTATATTTTATTGTCAGTACCTAATTTATTTATTTTTTTGGTTAACCAACAATTGTTTACACTATGTACATTGCTGATTAAATAGTTATAGAAACATTCACAAGTGCAACAATTAATTATAGGTTAACACCACATGCAAAAAACAAAACGGTGAACAAAACATACAGAGAAATAACAAGTGATTCCATAGGTGCATATCTATCTCAAAAAGAAAAAAAAATACATTAGAATGTCAATTACAAATTAAATAAATACGGAATTATTAGAACATTAAATTTAGTTATAGTTGTATAAATTGTATTACAATTATTGATAAATTAAACTTATAATAAAATCAGTAAAAAAAACAAGATTACAAATAAAAAATTGTAAAACATAATATTATGAAGACAGATTATGTATGACATGAAATAAAAAAAATCAAATAATAAAAAAAAGAATCAGTAATTCACTTTCACATCATTTACGCTCGTATGAATTTTATTTATATTATCGTGGTGTACATCCACTAAGTCGCCACGTTCTAATCGTTCTAATCTATAATATGAATCAACAGCGACTAACCGTTCTAGTAACAAATAGAAAATTGACATAGAAAACAGACTTAAAACTAAACAGATAAAAAATTAATGTTTATCAAGACAAACATTGGTTTCAACAATAATTTTATTTTCGAGAAAAAGCCATGCTTCGTCAACACACGGACTTTCTTTTTATAATTTTATTCAAAGTGACAAATGTCCTTTTACTAAAAGTGCTGTAATTCTGATACTAAGTGCAACAGCCAAAAAATGTATACACGCGCCTTTTGAAGGATAAGGCCTAACTAAACATCACAAGGATTTGATATTTGGTACGCCTACGAACTTTTCAGCCCATCTGATATATCACATAATTATTTCCGTATATAGATGTCTAGATAGTAAGATCAACAGAGTTTCAAAGAAATACAGAATATGAAATGTAGAGAGAGTCACGAAAGTGAGGGATAAGAGAGAATGGAAAAAAGTTCTTTAAAGCTCGATTTAAACTTAGAAAATTTAATATAACGTAAGCTATACCAATCTGTGTTGTGAAATAGGTAGTAGAATGTGTTCAGACTTTGATGTTTTAAAAAGTAGATTAAATATCAATTCATGTGTTAGTGCCGGGAAAAGGCACTTGAATTCTGATTTTACTTTTTATTTATTTGTTTTTATTGTTTTTGCTTATTTAGACTATGTACTATGTAGTAGTTTCATTACCTCTTACTTCTTAAAAATGTTGTCCTACACTTCCCCACGTCCTTGGTGGAATTTTTTAAAAAGTTGGCGGTGTTTGTTTTTTTTTATTGTGATAAATAACTTACAAGTTAATTTTAATAATGTACCTATCAAATATTTACTGTGGTTATGTTTACTTTTACTGTAAGCGTTTGTTCATATAATTAATAAATAATAAACGAAATTAATATATTCCAGACATGTTGGTTTCTTTCAGAAAAGTAGAATTTCTCGACACTTTTTTCCTGTAAAAATGTCTGTTAATATGATTATCAATAGGCCAGGCCTATTTAGGTACTGTATAAAACGAACAAACTTCGCCTGATGTATACAAAATTAGTATGTATATTTCAGTCATTGGTAACTACCAATGACTGAAATATACATACTAATTTTGTTTGCCTGAAAGTTTTCCGAGAGTTTTACAAATTGTGCTCTATTGGCGCCGCTTTCTTGGAAAAGTGATTACGTTTTACAATATCTCTTATACAGTGCATTTTATGAGAAAAACATTGACCATAAAATTAAAACTGGATACAATTTCCTACAATCTATATGCAGACAATGGGCATCAACCCTGACCAACCATCAACCATTTGAGGCGCGCAGAGAACGCTATACGCCTTTTCCACTGGTTCTAGTCGGGTGGCGAGCTACTATTGCTCGCCTTCCGCAGACCCGCACTTACGGTGGCTGGTAATCGTCGCACGATCCCCAACGCGCGGAGTGTTTCCTGTAGCAGTTGGGGAGGGAGAAGGATCATTCCCTCATGCCCTCCGCCTCCTCCTTTACTAGCATGGCTGCTTCGGAGATTGAACCAGAGTCGGACTCGAAAGGTCACCGGCGCCGATCACGTCCCAGAGGACACGGTGATACTCAGCCCATACTGGAAACATTGCCACCGTATGCTCCACTGTGTCCTCCGGGCGGTCCTTGCAATAACGACAACCGAGGGTTTATTCCCGCTGAATCCAAAACAGGTCCCTACAGAAACTAGGACAAAGGCGCTGCGAGTGACTAAACATTTGCTATTTGAGCGTCCTTGTTTCAAGTTTTGTCTGAGAATCCAAACAATACCCTCTTCCGCTTACCGCTCGTTCTTCTTCCTCTGTTGGTATAGTTACTTGCAGTTTTATGGTTTAAATCAATAAAGCAACTAATCTTCTACACAAAAAAAGCAAAAATAGAATAAATATATTCAAATGCCGATACCTTGAGAATGGTTAAGTTTGGGATATGAGGTTCCTTAGTTAAATTGCTTAGAAATAATGGATGCTACAACCTCTTAAAGGATTTAGGTCGACTTAACCTGTAATCCTGTATAATAATACAGGATTACAGTGTATAATAATACAGGATTACAGGTTACATACATAGCACCTGGCTTGGTTACATACAGAGTTAGGTACATACAGAGCACTTGGCTTTATTATGAGGGTCTCTAAAGATTTCAAACAGGCAAAAACGCTCAAGATTTTGTACTGCACTTATGTAAGAAGCCACTTAGAATATGGATCGCAAATATGGAATCCCTGTTACAGTACTTACATCCAGCGTTTGGAGGCAATTCAACAGCGCTTTATTAAATTTCTTTGCTTCAAACTTCATGTTCCATATAGCTCAGACAAATATCTGGAATTTTGTAGGCAGTTTCATATTCTGCCCCTTACCAATCGCCGTCGGATAGCGGATTGTACCACACTGCTAAAAATCATCTCAAATGAAATTGACTGTCCCGATCTCTTGTTCAAACTCTCTTTCAATGTCCCATGCAGATCTATTCGTTACAATCCCCCACTTTTAATTCGGAATTCCTCAACGAGGTATAGGCAGAATTCCTTTATTATGCGTGCAAGCAGAGACTTAAACAACCTGTGTAAGGAGTATCCAATTGATCCGTTTGTAACGCGGACTTCTACGGTGCGAAGGATGCTCACCCTACAGTTTTTTAATTTGATATAAAATTAAGTGGGTAACTTGGTTTAATATTAATTTGTTATTGTTGGTAGTATGGTTGGTGTGTGTTTATTTTTTTATGTTTTTTATTGTTGGTATATGCTCTTGTAGTGTCGTGGTGGCCCGGAGGAGTGTCGTGGTGGCCCGGAGGTTTAAGACGCCCTCTTCTCATGCATGAGGGTGCGGGTTCGAAACCAACCAACGGCAAGTACCAATGTGACTTTTTCCGAGTTATATGTACTTTCTAAGATTATTTAGACACCACTGACAAACGGTGAAGGAAAAACATCGTGAGGAAACCTGGACTTATCTATATATATAAAAGAAAGTCGTGTTAGTTACACTATTTATAACTCAAGAATGGCTAAATCGATTTGGATGAAAATTGGTGGGGAGGTACCTTAGAACCAGGAGACGGACATAGGATACTTTTTACCCAATTCTTTTTTTTTACTTTTTACCGAAAATCAAGAACGGGAACGGGAAATATCGGGACTGCGCGTACGAAGTCGCGGGCAGAAACTAGTAATTTCTAATTATAAGTTTGAAATCGCCAACCCGCATTGAGCAAGCGTGGTGATTAATGCTCTAACCTTCTCCGTGTGAGAAGAGGCTTTGCTCAGCAGTGGGCATTTATAGGCTGTTGATGAATATGCTCTTGTTGTTTTTTTTTTATTTTCTTTCCCTAAACGATGTATTTGTTTGGACTGTGAGTGTTTTTTTTTTAATTGAATAATGTGAAGTCTATTCGTGAAAACCTGTAATTGGCTTTCTGGTGTTATTATGTTATCTGTTTGTTTGCTATGTGTAGCTGTTGGTTTTCCAATCCATAAATAAATAAATAATATTATGTCGCACCTTTTAATCCATTTAGGGGGTAGACAGGTACAATGGTACATACACGCCCATCATACACATTTCACATCAGGTCACCTTTTCACCAATTATGCT